AGCTTCACTCTGACAGAGACCATGATGGTGAGTGTGGAGCGGACAGAGGAATACAGCACAGACATCCCCATGGAGCCCCAGGATAAACTGGTCGAGGTAAAAGCTCAAATATGTTCTCTAGGACAGGCCCGTCTTCTGACTCTGTGCCCTGCACTTGCCTCCTGGGGAGATTGCAGGGTTCTAGTTAATAAGTGGAGGTCCCTCAGCCTTAGAAACCACCTTGATTGCTCATCCTTTACCAGTACGTATCCTGGGGGGGGGGGTGTGAATCTCTGGCAGGAGTTGGTGAAAGTTGGAATGATGGGAAAGGGTAGGAGAGAACAAGCCTAGAAGGGGACTGGAATTGGAGCAGTGCTGTGCGTTGGGTCTGCTCAGAAGCCAGACAGCCATCCAAAGGGATAAATGGGGCTTGGCCTGTGGGGAGATGAGGCTGAAGATGAATAGTGGGTCACAGTCATACCCTGTCTCACCTATGCATCCCTTACAGGTTGCTGCTGACTGGCCTAGTCGGGGGCTTGTGGAGTTCCAGCAAGTGGTCCTGGCCTACCAAGCGGGCTTGCCTAATGCACTTGATGGTGTGAACTTCACCGTTTACCCTGGAGAGAAGGTGGGGATTGTGGGTCGCACAGGATCTGGAAAATCCACCCTTTTCTTGGCTCTTTTCCGCATGCTGGAGCTAAAATCAGGACAGATTCTCCTGGATGGTGTCAACAGCAAGCTGGTGGGCTTGGACGAGCTAAGGTATGGAGGGCTGAGCACAGTGGAGGGTAGCTGGCGGGGGCTGGAGGCTGAGAGCTGTCAGTGGTTGGGTACCGAAGGGAAGAGTGAGGAGCAAAGGACTTTTAATCATGGCAACCTCTTGCTGATTGTGGCAGTTTCTTATGAGTTGCTCAGTTGTTTCTGATCAGCTGTGCTAAAGAAACCAGGCTGAGTGTGTTACCTATGTCTCTTTGCCTCTAAAATATGCAGCAAGCCAAAGACACCCCACCCCAGGAGGGAAAAATTACCGGCCTTTGTTTTTCTGTGGAACCTACCCCATGAACCCTCAGCTCTCATTTGGTTGCAGATCTAGGCTGGCCATCATCCCTCAGGATCCGTTTTTGTTCAGTGGCTCAATCCGAGAGAACTTGGACCCCCAGGGAAAACGGACAGATGCTGAGCTCCATGAGGTGCTAGAGCAGTGCTACCTGTGGGATACTGTTACTCAGATGGGTGAGTCTGAATGCAGTGAGATGCAGCTGGTGAGCCCTGGTACTGAGAAAGGGAGAAGGCCTTAGCTCAGTCGGGGAGATGAGGAAAAGGGCCAGGTGAATACATTAGGGAACTGGTTAGGTGAACACAAGGACCAGGGTGGGAACAGATCTGTGGGAGTTAGTGGCATTCCATGAGGGTTAGTGGCAAGGGACTGGCAGATGATGGATTGGTGTCAGGATCTTGCTGATGAGACCTGACCCCAGTGGATGTTACAGCAAAGCCTGAGAGATAAGCCAGCCCCTAGTTCAGGGGGGTGTGGCGTTTCTGTGCCACACGTTGCTTGCATCTAAGCATAAAGGCTCTGGTTCCCAGTGTCTGGGCTTGAGCAGGATTAGGATATTGAGTGCTTCTGAGAAAGCCCCAGGCTGGGGAAGCTGTTCAGGGCCCTGAGCAGAGCCTGGTGGTGTGACTTCTGAGCTTGACCCCCACAGGTGGATTGGACAGTGAGCTGGGAGAGAGGGGAAAGAGTCTGTCTGTGGGCCAGAGGCAGCTGGTGTGTCTGGCGAGAGCCCTCCTGACGCAGACCAAGGTGAGTGCCCTGCCTTCCCGGGGCATGAGGGAAGGGGAGTGAGCTGCTGATGGGTGTGTGGGAGCAGCAGAGTGCTCCAGAGTTGGGGTGTGATGGCAGCAGACATCCTGTGCTACCTTCTCAGGCTTTCTCTCGGGAGGGGTTGGGGTGTCCCCTGGGGCTCTTGGGTAGCTCCCATTACTCTCTGTCCCTGGCAGGTACTGTGCATTGATGAGGCCACAGCCAGTGTGGATCAGAAGACAGACCAGCTGCTGCAGCAGACCATTCGCCAGCGCTTTGCTGACAAAACTGTTCTGACAATCGCTCACAGGTATGGAGGAAGCAGCACTCGGCGCCTAAATTCATCCCAACACTCACAGGGAGAGGTGGACCTGTTCTACCATGCCTGGGCCTTGAGCTGAGCAGGGAGGACTCTGTGATAAGGCTTTTCAAGTGCAAAAGGCGGGATCTTGCCTACTTGCCTTTTTTGTTTTATTTGCCCTGGGTGCTGAGAACAACTGGAAGTGGAAATGTTGTACCCAGAAACTGGAGGACAGCAAAGGGCAAAACGCCACGTTGTATGGCAGATGGCTCTTCCTGGGCACTGCTTCTTGGGACTGGGGAGTGAATCAGACCTCGTGGTTCTGCCAGTTTAGAACACGGAGTAATGGACAGCTATCTTGTGGGAAGGAGCAGCACGGAGACCGGGTAGGAGCAGGTGTCTCTGGCTCAGTAGAGGGCACTGCAAGACAGCCGTGGCCAAGGGCTGCAGCCAGTTCCTGGGCAGGCAGAACTCTGGGTGTCTTGTTTCCAAAACCCAGGCAAGACACAGCAACAGTGCCTGGCCCGCAGATGAGAAATTGAGGGTTAGAGTAGGGAGAGTAGCTAGTTGCAGGCAGAGGGAGGAGGGCAAAACATGAATACCGTTGATACTGGGAAGGGATGGGTCAGCATTAGGTAGTGCTATCTGCACAGGGTGCTCTTACTCTTGCCAAATGGAGAAGAGTTTGGAGGAGGGTTATGCAGTTGTATGGAGGGTGTTTTCAAAACACAAAGGATACCACAAAAATAAAAACCAGATGAGCAGGGGCTGGTGTCCTGGTGCACAGAAGTGGGAGTAATGGGTAACAGACAGGGTGGGCTGAGCATGGAAAGTGAATCGGGTGGGTCTAGTTAAATACATCAGATAGGACAGAGGCAGGAGGGGTGTGGAGGGAATGTGGTTCATACACTAGGGATATTATGCCTAAATAGAGTAGAAAGGTAAGAGCACTGTGGGCTGAGGTGTGTGTTTGGGTTGGGTGGAGGGAGACCACCTCTGATGGAGGAGTAACTAGAGAAGAGAACCAGCAGAGGAAGGAGTGGCAGAAGGTGAGGCAGCAAGGCTGGGTTGAAGATGGCTCCAGCCCCTCTTGCACTGGGTTGAGGAGAGATGGGGGAGAGCAGTGAAGAAAGAGAGGTGGTAATGGAGTTGTTTTGTACCCATGGTTCTTTCATGCCATTCAGCTTTGGGTGAACCATAGTTGGATGGTTAAGTGAAAATCTAGGCTTGGAAATGACTCAGTACTTGTCCCTTGCCCCTCCACGTCACTTCCAGTGCTGCAGCCTGGCACTCTTTTGGGGATAGATGTGTAACCAAAGTCCTTAACTCCACAATGCTTTATGCCTGTTCAAATTGTGTACAATGTCTTCCAGATTTGTAGGGCTGTAGTTCAGCACTGAACAGGACATGACTGTGCAAAGACGTTCCTGCTACCCTGTCTTCCCTCCCCAGGGCCAGAGGTTGCTGCCATGCTTAGTAATTTGGGCAGAACAGGGTGCACACATGTGGGTGTGGTGGTTGGCAATCTGGCAACCACAAATCCACTGGTGATGACAGCGTAAGCAGAGATGCCAGATAGCTGGGGAGTGGCAACTGATGCTCAAGTCCACTTCTGCAGCCCTCAGGAGGTGGCAGGTGAGGAAATGTAGGGGCAAACAGAAGCAACTCAACTCTCCTGTGGAAGAAAGACATCTTGTGCAACCCTAAAATCAGGTGTGCACTGAGCTTTCCCTCCACAGAGCTTCCCTCTGTGCTCCTGATGGCCTGTCATGCTCAGGAACAGAACAGCATTGCTGTGCTCTCCTAAGAGGTGGTGCATTTCAGCAGCACGCAGAGGCTTTCTGGGAGCTGGACTGCAGTGTGCCCCTGAGTGCAAAGGGACACGGTCCACAGATCCTGATGTTGGCAATGTCTTGGGACACCCCTTGACAGCAGGGGAAGCAGTATTCAGGGTTTCTCCTCAGATACACCAATGTGTATCCTGGTGTTTGCTGTCCACAGGTTGAACACCATCCTGGACTCAGACCGTGTGCTGGTGATGCAGGCTGGGAGAGTGGCAGAGCTGGATTCACCCACCCACCTAAGCCAGAAAGATGGGTCCTTGTTTCAGCGCCTCCTGCACAGCGGACAGCAGTGACTTCCTCCTGGGCTGAGCCCAGGCAGCCCTCCTGGCTCTGTGCCTGGCTTCCCCATCACCTCACCTATCAGTGCTGTCACTGCAGGGCCAGTAGCTGCTGAGGGGAGAGAAGGGTTTATTCCTGCCTGCAGACAGTGACTGTGGGTCCTCAGGGATTCCCTGAGGCTCCTGCATGGCACTGCAGCCTTTCCTTTAGTAGGGAAGATGGGATCTGGTGTTTAGGACCATGCAAGCCTGGCTGTTGGGATACTGCTCCCCTTCAAGGCTCCCCTTTGAGATGACAGAGGGATTTTCTGCTCACTGAACAATCAGTGAATCCTAATCTGAGACTTAGTCTCACATGCACAATTTAAAATAAAAGTGGAAACATCCTTGTGAAGCTCTCTTACCCAGGTACCTGTCCCCTTTCCCCGAGACACAGACTTCCTTGTGACATACAGCAGTAGTGCCCTCTCTGCACAAACACAACCCTGTTTCCTCCTTGCTTTCAGAGGACACTGACCTTTCAAATCCCAGAAGGTTGCACCTGGGGACCTGGCTGCTTCTCCTCCACTTTATAGTGGAAAAGCCCTTCCCCTGAAGGGCCAGAATGTAGTTGGTTACATTAAAGGCCTCTAAGGCTAGTTTGCTGCAAGACCACTTTTCCAAGGGAAACTCCTTATCCCTCCTGCCCTGCTCCCAGCTGCACAAACCCACAGCTGCTTTCAGTTTGGGGATCAGGTTGGGGTCCAGACGTCACTTTTGCAACCTGAATTATTTTATGATTCTCTGATACACTGTTTCTGGGCTTGTATTTGTTTTATTTGATAAAGGTACATCATCCATCCATGTATTAAAAATATAATCTTTCTGATGAAGCCCCAGTCGCCTCTCCCAGGTCTCCCTCCTGGCTGAGTGCTCAGTCCTCTGTCTGCTCCCTTCACACATCTTGAACCCAGCTCTGCAACCCTACAGGCCAGTAGCAGGGTTTGCGTTGTGGGGTTGTTTTCACCCCACTGCTTAGCTCTTCATGCCCGTGTGGAGGCTCAGAAAGCCCTGGCCCTGACAGGGACATTGCTGCATACATGCAGAACAGTGCAGGCAGGAGCAGACCTAGTACAAGGGCCAGGTGACCTGGCCATCTACTTACTGCCTCTTAGCTGTGCTTTAGCAGTGATGAAGGCAGTATCTTATGCTACCTGTGGTCATCCTTAGGCTCGGTGGCCTGTCCTCACATCCACTGTGGGGAGTTCTTTGCTGTATCAAGAAACACTACAATGGCTGATTTGAGCTGCCTGTCTTGGAGCAACTGGGACAAAAAAGGACGATCTGGATCTTATATTGCTACTTAACCTGCCACAGCACGTCTCCAGCCTTGTCCATCTCCAGTTTCACCTGTGAGGGCATATGAGAAGGACCAGCTCAGGCCTGGAGGACCCCAGAAGGGAGCAGGCCGTGCTCCCCGTTGCCTGAAAATGGTGAGGCAGAAGTGCACACTGGGGTGGGCAAGGAGCTTGGTCATTTGTGGCCAGACCCAAAAGGACAGCTCAGTAAGTCGGGGCAAGAAGATCGCTGGATCATCAGCAGGAAAGTACAGAAAGTGTTTGTAACCCCAAGTCTGAGAGCAAGAGGAGGGGACATCACCCAGGGCAGAAGGGCATGAGGGGACGCCAAATGATCTCCAGAGTGTCTTTGAACTGGCTCAGAGAACCACAAGGCCAAGGAAGGAAGGTGTTTGCTCACTCCATAGGGACATGGCATCTGAAATGACAGCCTCCAGAAACAGCTGAGCCACCCCTTCCAGTACTGGGGCAGGAGGCCTGTGCAGCCACAATCGTCCTGAAGGCCCCAGAAGAAATACCCCAGTACCAATGGAAATTAGGACAAAGCCCTCTTCCTATAGTCACAGAGAGACGTTACAAAGGGCCTGGCAGAATTCGGGTTTGCAAGAAGGCTGTGCCCTCTCTGCACTCCCTGTCCTGTTTCTGAGGGCGCACAGTGGACGATACCGGCACCGCATGGCACGGGCTGCTGCAAGCAGCATGTCACTGCTCCCCTGCAGGGCTCGCCCATCGCAGCCCTGCTTTCAGGTGCCCATGGGGTGCTGTCTGAGCACACAGCTCAGACCCAGGCAGCGCCATCACACCAGTGCTGGATGCCCAGGGGACTTGTGTATGCATTTGCTGCCCTGGGAGCCCTTCCCTGCTGCCCACCTTGTGCTGGCGCAGCTCCCCAAGGTGCAGTTCAAAGGGGTTGGTGCCAGGGCCCAGCTCATTGTCCTCCCAGCTCACAGCTCTGTTGTCTTCCTGGGCTCGATCAGGACGGTGTTGAGCATGCCCACCTGACACTCCTGGTCATGCAGCTTCCTCTCAGCCTGGGAAGGGCTTTGGCACCAGTTTGACCTCTGGCGGCCCCTTTGCCAGTTCCTCAGCAGGAGCAGGACGGTGATGAGGACTAGCACCGCTGTCAGCACCCCGAACACCAGCACTGTCACCAGCTGGGCTTCGCTCAGCCCCGAGTCCCTTTGGGTCACCACCTCCTTCACAGAGATTTTCAACAACCCTCCCCCCGGCTCTTTCTCACTGTGGTTGCCCACACGCCGCCCTGTGACCGCGGTCCTGACAGGCTCCGGCTGCGTCACCCCCGGCATCTCGCTGGTGGTGCTTTTCACAGCTCCGCTGCTGTCGTGGTTCACAGGGTGGTAGGGGGGAGCCCAGGTGGGCTCGGGGACGGGGATCTCGCAGGTTTTGCCAGTGAAGCGGTCAGGACACAAGCAGTCATAGTCATTGATGCGGTCGTAGCACTTGGCCCCGTTCTTGCATGGCTGGCTGGCGCAGTCGTTGATGTTGATGGTGCAGAAACGCCCTTCGAAGCCCACCTGGCACTGGCAGGAGAAGCGGTTGATGCCGTCGTGGCAGGTGGCACCATTGGCACAGGGACGCATCAGGCAGTCATCCACGTCCTTCTCGCAGAAAGCCCCCATGAAGCCAGCCAGGCACCGGCACGTGAAGTTGCTGGCAAAGCCGTTTTCATCTTGACACTGCCCCCCGTTCTTGCATGGAGACCTGCGTGGAGACAGCAAGGGAGTGTCACGGCCATGGAGAGCAAGCGGCTTCCCCACCCCAGGAAGGGGAGCACACAGAGCTGCTCGTGTGAACAGTGGGTCCGGCACCGTCTCTCCATGAGGGGACTATCTCAAAGAGAAGCCCAAACAGGAGTTTCCACCTCCCCAAGTGAGAGGCTGAGGGACATCCCCAAGGGCTGTGGCTGTGCACGGGCCCAACACCCACCAGGGAGGGTCTCCAGCCAAGTGACCTGAAGAGGAAAAGCACCCTCCTGACGTTCCATCAAGGCATGGCCTGTGTCAGCTCATCCCCACTACGACACCAATGACCTTGCCCCAGTGGGATTGTGCGGTGCACACAGCTAAACCAAAGCCAAATGTGGTTTTGGCTTAACTCCATTAGCACATGGAAATCCACAGATAACAAGCCCAGCAGGGCCACCCCTTGGCAGTGCATGGCCCAAAGTTAATGTTGTTTGTAATGTCACTGCCCTCGCTGCCGTGTCTCACCCTGCCTTCTCACATGGCCCCGTCTTCATCTCACAGTCCTTCCCATGGAAGCCTTCGGGACACAGGCAAGAATACTCCCCGTCTCGATCGTAGATGCACTGAGCCCCGTTCTGGCACGGGGGGGACTGGTGTTCGCAGATGTGTATGTCTGAGGGGAAAGGAAGAAGTGGGAATCAGTAAGAGAAGAGGGGCAATGTGGCCAATTCAGTTCAAACACACCCAGTGAAACCCAGTGGGGATGGAGAAACTGCAGGAGCTTTTCCCTCCACCCATCCAACAGGCATCTGCAATAGAAATGCAGTGCCTACGTGATGTCTCCCAGCTACAGTCCACAAAGTGCACAGGCTTCAGGATGCAGAGAAAGCAAATCATCCTGCAGATCTGCACGATGTGAAGGTGCTGTGCATGCTGTCTGGGCAGCCAGTGCAGACCCCATGGCACAGAGGAGCCTCTCAGGCCAGAGGAGGGGAGTCCACCAGCCAACAGCTACAGGCAGGAAGCCCTGGGGAAAGCAGGAGGTGTTGCCCGGAGCCCAGCCACAGCATGGGAAAGGCAGTGAGCCTGCTGCTCCATGTCCCAAGGCTGGCTGGTATTGTGGCAACTCTTGACATGCAGCCAGGGAGCAGGTGCTGGCTGCCTAACCTATTCTGCCCAGATGTGGCAGCCAAGCAACATCCCATCTCCCTGGCAGCCCAACAGCATAACCTGTGGGGCTGCTGGCCAGGCCGGCTCACCTGTCCATGCAGGGTGTGCTGGGCTTCTGCCCCCAGCACCAGAGGCTGTGATGTCCAGGCCAGGACTCACCTTTGTCACAGAACTTGCCGGCCCATCCGGTGTGACAGATGCACTGCCAAGGCTGGTGGCATGTCCCATGGAGACACCCCGGCATACGCACGCAGTCCTCGCAGTACTCGCCCTCCCAGCCTGGGTCACACCTGCAGGAGGACAGGGCATGGCAGCATGGTAAAACCCAAGCAGGGGCTATGGAGCAGCTGGCTGCTTGCTGTGCAGGGCTCCCGCAGATATGGCAGCGCTGGGAAACCCTCCCAAAGGCCATACCTGCACTTCCCATCCTGGTCGCAGCAGCCGTGGGCAAGATTACAGCGCTCGCTGCAGTCATCACCTGCAAGGCAGGAAACGGGTGGAGTTGGGTTAAGCAGAGACCACAGATGACTCCAGATCTGCCCATGGTCCTTCTGGCTCACAGGGTTTTTTTCTTACTTCCTAAGCACTCAGCATGCCCTTCCCCAGAACCTTCCTTTCAATGGCTGGATGCCACATGAGAGATGAGGATTTCACAGTTACCCAAGCAGAAATGACACTGCCTTTATTGAGAAAGGGGACCCTGCTTCAAAACTACCTGGTTTCCGATCATCTCCACACCTCTCTGCTGCCTCCCATAGACTTCAGGCCTCTCTGAGGAAGAGCTGGGTTTGCCCAGCACACCACACTGCACATTAAGGCGACCTGTATAATAGAGCCTGACTCAGCGGGGACCTCAGTCATGCAGCAAGCATGGTGGGAAAGCTCAGGGCCAGGTACTGCAAGGGGCACAAAGGACTGAGGATGGAAATGGGAAGAATGGTTCCTCTTTATCTCCCAGGAAGTACCTGTCCCCAGGGACAGCCATTAGCACAAAGAGGTCTGGTCAGGGCTTCTGGCCTCCTCCAGAATGCAGCTGCCAGCACTCCCCTCTGGCATGGGGAGGTATGGAGCCAGGTATCTGTTTATTTATTTAAAGTCCTGTTTATTTATTTAAAGGCAACAGAAGCTGTAACTGAGCCTTGGCCTTGCTGTGCCACTTCTCATCCTCTGCTCAACGCTGGCCTGTTTTCTCCAGCAAGGTGTCTTCTTTCATCTTCACCTTCCTCTCTCCCTCATCACTTGCTTGCATCTTAGCCCAACAGGGAGCTGGCACTCTCTGCCTCCATGGACAGTAAAGCCACAGCGAATGTCAGGAGGCAGGGGGTTTCTGCAGGAGCCTAGTGTGATCCCAGGCCAGGCCCAGGAGACAAACACCCTTATCTGACTGAGCCCCTCCATCCCAGACAGAGGCAGGTTAAAGTCTCCATGCCAAAAGTCATACTCTGACTTCCCCCAGGCTGTGTGATATGCTCCCTAGGACGTGAGCAGGGAGAGAAACACCTCATTGCCCATTGGAGTAGTGTAAGAGCAAACTAATCTTTGGGAAAGGACTTTGTCTCATAGGATCGACAATTAGCTGTTCTGTTTGGGATCTTCTTTCCCCCTTGTCCTGCCTCTCCAAACAGGCTCATCCGTTTAGGGACCCATTCACCCCAAGACAGACAGAGCAGTGGGATCCCTCACTGCTGGTCTGCTCAGGCACCGCAACCCCCATGGATATCAGAGTGAGGGTCTCTACAGTTGCCACCAGTCACCCCTCAGGTACTGGGTGACTGAGCAACATTTTCCGCTCTTCCAGGTCAGACCAGCTTTATTTTGCATGGAAAACAGAGAGGACTGCAGCAATGCCAAGAGTACGTTTGGAAAGATGGATATGAAAGGGAAGTACCCATGTCTACAAAGACTCACCATGGGCAAGTTGGTGATGGGCCAAGAGAATCCAAACCAAGGACATGAGCTGGAGACAGAAGCTCCTGAGCATGGTCAGCGTGGCCCCACCGAGATGAACACCTACAGAGAGAAGAAGAGCAAGCTCAGAAAAATCCCCTGGCTCACACCACAGCTTCGCTTCACGCATCCCTTCCTCGCTACCTGGGAGTTTTGACTTGAAACATCCCATTTTGTACAGACTTGTCACCACGCTCCTCTCTGTCCTTCCAGGCTCCTTCCTCTAAGGCAATGTTGGAGCACCAAGAATCAAAAAGCCTTTTAAAATGTACTCTACAGGAGAACTGAGTGTGCACACTCCACCCTGAACATACAATATCTCAGGCTGTTACACGGCATCTCAGAGCACCTACCCCGGCCAGCTGCTGTCAACAGAGCCAAATCCTCCAGAAAAGAACATCCCAGCTGTGGGGACCTTCATCTGGGGGACTTCAGCTTTGTGTTAAGCAAGATCCCCCTTGTGCATGTCCGAATGAATAGATAGGCTGAGTCTTTTTACAGCACCCAGGCTGCTTTTCAAGCCCTTCAGGAAGGAAGGGAGTCCAGTGGATCTAGCAGGTGGTAAACAGCAGCCCTATTCCATTTTCCAAGCAAAGGAGTGAAGTGATAGGCACTAGACCCGAGCTGCAGCCCCAGATAGGAAAGGCAAACACGCACCTCTCCCTAGGCGCAGTCCTTTTCCTCGGCTGTCCTGCAGAGAGCCCTGTTAGCCCAGGGTTCCTGCACCCATCTATTTTCCGACCGCCTCCTGCCCTCTTGAAATAACATTAAATACTTTCCAAAATCGCTTCATTCCCTCCCAGCCTCCTGGGGTTGTTAAGGGCAGGAAATTTGAGGGTGATATCATAAATATATTACTATAATGAGATGGGAGGGGTTAAACAGTTGTACTAGGAGAGCGGTGAAGGTATGGAGCAGGCTCCAACCAGTTGTGTGGGTGTGATGGACAGGGGCCATTCCATTTTCAGCTTGACTCCTTAGCTTGGGAAGGTTGTGTTTGGTTGATAGTTACGTGAAAGACTTCATAGATGGGAACAGAAGTCCTCCAACCCACCCACATGTACACATGCATTGCATAAAGAGGTTTTGGGATCCCTGATAAGGGCCTCACCTGCCTGGGCCAGACAAAATAGCCCACAAAAGCAATGATGTTGCTCGAAGCATCTCTCCAGCAAACAAACCATCACCAGTGAAGGATGCAGCATTTTCAGAGAGGCTACGGGATGTTACTGTCACTGCCCCAGCCGAATTCCAGCACAGATTGCTGCATCCTCTCTGCCCATAGCCCTCTTGTCACCACGCTCGAGGACCCTCCCTCGCCTCCTGCCCAAGAGCACTGGGCAGTGGCGCACAGCTGCTGCATTTCAGAGGAGGGTGAAGCAATTCCTATGAAACTTATAAAGTAATTTAGGGCTGAGCAGTTGATCTCCTTTTCCTTCAGGGCTGTGGGGAGCTCAACCTTCAACCACATGTCATTGCAGAGGTCATTTTTCCCCATGGCTCCCACAGCTTTCGCACTCGAGGCACAGCCTCTTGGACCTCCTGATGTAGCCACTCCACAGTTGCTGCTCCCAGCTCCCACCCAGGGACCCCCCGGACCCCGACAGGGCGCAGGGGGCATCCTGAGGGGCAGCTGGTGCTCAAGGGAGGTGCAAGCAGCACCCAGGCAGGCCTGGCTTTAGGCCAGAGGGATGCAAGGGAGGGAGCTCCCTCTGTCCCACTCCTCCACTAGCGCCTGACCGAGCTGCGGGCTACCATCCCCTAGGGGCTGCAGGCTATTAGGGATGGCCCTCGGGACTATTAAATTTCCCGTAGGGAATATTAGGGACCTCTGCAGTGTTGGGGGCCAACAGGGAAACCCCGTGAAGGGGGCTATCACGCGCTGCCCTAGTGTAGGGACCCCCCGGGACCCCCAGTCTAATACACGCTGCCCCTAGCATGCGGTCCTCTAGGGACCCCTGGGGCTTCGGGTCCAGGGGCAGGGGTGGGAACCCGGAGGATGCCGCGCCGCTGCGGCTCCGCGCTCCTGCCTCTCCCCTCCTTCCCTGCGGCTTTGGGACCACCCCAAGCCCCCAGTGCCCCCCGAGGGTCACGGCCACGGGGGTGCCCGCCTTCCCCCCACCCCAAGGCCGGCCGGAGGGGACGATCCGCGGAGCCCAGCATCGCTCCGGCCCCACCGGTCCCCCTGCGGCCGGGGAGGCGGCGGCAGCGGAGGGCTTCCCGGGCATAAGGGGGCTGCGGGTCCCCGCCGAGAGCCGTCCCCCGTCCCCTGCTCACCTCGGCGACGCGGCGTGTCGTGGGGCTATCGCGGGGCGCGGCGGTGGGGGGCGGCCATGCCCGGCGCGGCGGCGGCGGGGCTGGGGAGGCGCGGGGTTGCGGAGGGAGCTGCCGCCGCGTGTGCCGCTCCGCGCCGCGCCGCTCCGCTCCGCCCGCCGCCGCCGTGCAGCCCCGGCCGCCTGCCAGCGGCTGCGTGTGCCTGCACATCCCCGCTCCCTCCCCGGGACATCCCGCCTCCCGCCGCCCCAAACCGCAGGCAGCCCCCGGCCCGGCCCGCCCTGCCCGCTCACCCCTGCCCTGCTCCCGCCGCCGTGGGCATGGGGAAGGGGGAGGCCCGGCACGGCCACACGCGGGCCCGCACTGCCCCCGGGGAGGGGCGCGGGGGGGGCTGCCTCTGCGAGAGTCACCGGTCCCGTCCGCAGGAGGGGCCCGCAGAGGATGCAGGGGTTGCCCCGGGCTGGGGGTGTCCTCCCGGCGCGGCCCTGCCCTAGCGGGAACCCCCGCCCAGCCCCCTGCAGCTGCACACACATGCTCGGGTAGGGGCCCCGGCCCGCTGCTGCTGGTTCCTCGCAGCCTGGTTCCTCTGTCAGCAGTGGGTGTGGGGTGACCCCAGCCTTCATTTCATTCACATTGTCTGAAACAAGCAAAAAAGCCTCCTGCAGCCCCTCGCTGCCAGCTTCAGAGGCTACCAACACAGCTCGGCTGGCAAACAGCAGGGTTAGGAAGCCCCATGCTTAAGGTAGAGGTGCAAAGTGGAGTTGTCAATCTACAAGAATGAAGACATTCAGTGGTCCCTGGCACTCCTCTCACTGCCGCTCACAAGCTGTGGACACCAGCTCCCCAGTGTACAATACGACAGCCCTGGGAGAGGGGCTGGGCTGTCACATCTTCAGGAGGGACAGCTGCCCGCTCTTCTCCTCACCTTCCATGGCCTTGCTGGTACTTCACCAGATCATATCTGTCACCTTCAAAGGTTCTAGCGATCCTTCATTAGATCACAAGTTCACCTCAGCCAGCCCTCACCCCATGAGTTTTGCTGTTTTTTCACCAGGAAGGAAGAAGAACCAAGTCCTACTGGCAGTTACCTGGATGCTTCCACATTCCATTTCATCTCATCAGACAAAGCTTAACCCATCCCTGCTCTCAGCTTCTCCAGTCTCCCTGGTCTTCTACAGCTCCTGACAGCCCCATCAGCACCACACATCCTGCAGCACCTGTGGGCAGCCCCAGTGCCCCAGGACAGCCCAATAGCCCCCTCATAGCCCATCTCTCTGCTGGCTCTGACTACAAACCCCTGCTTGCTCCATCCTCTGCAGGTCTGGACAACACAAACCTTCTGAACAGTAGCATGGGACCCTCCCACCATGCCCATCACTATAGGTGCTGCCTCCTTCCTGCCTCTTTCCTGCTCTCCTGTCACCAGGCGCACTGTGAGAGGCGCACTGTGCTTCCTGTCCTTCCTGCCTCCTCCTGTCTCCCTCACCCCACCTAACTGCTCCAAGGTCCCCAAGAACCAGGGAGGTCCAAATCTCCGGCTGCTCCATTGGCTCCCCAGGTATGCATGGAACAGGTGTGCACCCACTGTTCTGAGATGGTTCTTGTGGTTCTTCATCCATTCTCATCCCCTGATTTTTCACATCCAGCTCAGTCTGCTTCTGAGTCCTGGTTTACACCTTATCTGGGGCTTACAACAGAGGGAAAGGGGGAGGCTGAGGGCGAAGCACAGCTCCTGGTACTCATTTCAAAACCAATCAACCTTTCCTTCAGTGACTGATGCTCTAGGACCTGGGAGGTTCCAGTCTTCTCCTCCGATCCCCACAACACTCTGCCTTGCACTCTTTGCTCTGCCAGTCATGGTTGGAGGCCCCCTCCAACAGTGAATGTAGGCTGCTCAGCCTTACCCTCACCTCCTCTTTGAAACCTTACTGTCTACACCGGCTGCCTTAGGTATGGCACCTGTGACATCCTCACCTGCTCTTGCCCTCCTCTGCTGGGATCTGCCCTGGTCCTGACCACGCCGTGCTGTAATGCCATTGCACAACCATGCCTGCGTGCTCTGAAACCTCACACAGTTAAATGCACCTAAGAAAGCCCTCTGGATGCTATGTGTGCATTTGAACAGGCAGGTAGGAGGGTGCTTGTGGAGGGGTCCCTGCACACATTGTTGCCCGTAAGTATCTGTGTCCACAACATGAGCACTGTGGGAGATGGAGATGGGATTAGGTTGCAGTAAGTGGAGCAGAACACGTGGATCTCCCTGTGCTGCTTCTCTCAAAGGCGAGAGCTGTGTTGCGGAGCAAGGGACCTGCAGGCTGAGAAGGTAAAGCTGGCTGCTGGAGACCTGAACACTGAGGCAGGGGAATGTAGAATAGAAATGAGGGTGCAATTACAGAGCAGGGGAAAGGCATATTTGAGGAAATGGGGTTTGGGGGTTAGGTTTGGTTTTGCATGTGAGTACAGAAGTGTCTGTGATGTGATGCAAGTGTCTGCATCACAGACAGAAGCAGGCAGGGATGAATGTGGGTACAGAAGAAGACGGAAGAGATAAGAAGGGAACCCAGACACTGTGGACCTTGGGTGTGCTCCTTCCTCAGCACAGAAGGGCTGCTGTCCCACCCCCAGACACACTCCCAAGCCCCAGAAGCCCTTGGGCTGCCCAGGGTGGTTCAAGCGGAGCAGCTCTATTTACAGACCCAAGAAACTGGTGTTGAAGAGGGGATTCCCGGACTTGGCTTAGACCTTGCTCTACTGGGCTCTGATCCCTGCCATGCCATCCCCAGAGGCGTCTCGGATGGAACAGCTGCTGGGTCAGAATTAGGAAGGATTTTTTCCTAGCCATAAGAGTCCCTCTGCTGCTGTTCCCTCCGGTGAAGGAAATCCCACAAAGCAGGGACCTGGAGTGTGAACAGGAATGATCTGTCACCACAATCTCCCCCGCCAGTGCATGCCAGCCACAGGATCCCTCCCTGGACATCCTTACAATGCACCATCACTACTCCCATACAGAGGGAGGAATTACCTGTCAAAACCAGCTGGAGCTGTTTCCCTTCCTTCCAGTGTCTGGAACCTATACCTTGGAAGCAGCCGGACATCAGGGATGAGCAGCAGATGCTGAGCTGAGGAAACAGGTGATGTTGCCTCTTTCCACTGAGGAGCCTTCCCCAGAGCAAAGCGAGAAAGAAACTCCTGTGCAGAAGCCTGGAGAAACGCACTGGTTCCTGCTTGCTCTAATCCCTCAAGGGAGGCAGAGGAGCAGCATAAACCAGCTGGAGAAAGGCAGCAAGCACCTCCAGGCTGCCAACTCCAATGATCATCCTCTCCCGCAGCTCGCACTCCGCATCACCCTCTCGCCTTACGCACAGCAGAAGCACAGGGTCTCTGGGTTAAGACAAATGTTCTCTGCCATCCCACCCCCCTTGCTGTTCCCATTCCACCCCAGCCCACAACAAACATCATCAGCTCACTGGCCCTGCAGCCATGTAACCCAACCCCAGCCATTGTTCCCCCTTCCCCAAGGTCTATATTTGACTCTGCAGCAGCACTGTGGCTCTGTGTGTGTGCGTGTGCGCGCTCACTACACACGCACGCTCCGATATTTGTTCAGAGCCTCATTCTCCAGATGCCCGGGATTGCTTAGAAATAGCTTCCATGGGCAGTAGGTGTTTGTGCCTGCAGTGGGGAAGTGGAGGGGGCAGGCAAAAGAGAAGCAGGGAGAGGGTGAAGGTCAGAGGTGGAAAACCTCCTCGCTCTTCCCTCCCAGTTTGCACCATCTCAAAGATCTGCAGCTCTGTGGGGTGTGGATGGGCTGTGGCTGGACAATGACAACACTTGCTCTCAACAGCAGGGCTAGCGGCAGAGCTGGAGAATGATGGAGAAAAGGCCAAGCTACGGTCTTGGTGAGTCCATCACTTTCTAGTAGCAAAAGTACAGGTCAGCCTCCAAAAGCCCTTCAAACTTTACTAAGTCTGGAAGCTGAGGCTACCAGAAATGGCACTGAGGGTGGAAGTACCTCATTCCTTTAACCTGGCGGCCCTGCAAAGGGTACCTCAGCATACGGGAGCTGCCCTGGGATTCACCCTCCTCCATTTCAGTACTGCATTAAGGGTAGCCACCCTGGGCTACCCCGGGATGTATTTTGTGTTTTCCCAAAGCCTCCAGGAATGCTGCCCAAGCCCAGTGTCACATTCCCCATGATCGCGGAGTCCCTGGGAACACTCTCTAGGCTTGGCATAAGCCTCTTTTATTTGCATCCTTTGAAGCCTGCCAGGACACACGGCAAAATCAGCAGTGTAAGTGCAGTCAAAATGAACAGCAGGAAGGATTGCCTTTATCCTAAACACTGATGATCTGGGTAACTCATTGCCACTGGGTAATGAGAAGAGGCATGCATTTAAAAATGTCTAGATGTCTGTGTAGATATCGAGAATGAATAGGAATGAACTCCAAAGAGCTGTAAAATCTCGTGCTTTAGAGCACTGAAAATGAGGCCATGGACTAAGGAGCAGCTCTCCACAAGGGCAGTAACTGTGTGCAGAGCGATGCCTATACCTTCCTCTGAGCCATGCAGACCTGACCCTGGGACAGGAAGGATGCTGGGTGTGAGAAGGCACCATCCATACATTCCCACTGGACAAAAGGGTGGCCCAGCATACATTTCCCATCACTAAGGCCAAGGGAGGATGGGACTGTATTGGATGCTCCCGTGGTGCCTGTGAGATGTCCTGGAGAGGTGATTCCTGAGTGTTCAGAGCCAAGTGCCAGCCCCTGTTCAAGTGTGACTGCCAGCTCTCCTCTCCTCTGCTCCGAGCCAGCTGTGTGGAGTCCCTCATTGCCAGGGCTGCTGCTTCCTGAGGGGTGTCTGTATCCTGCACCGGCCTCCAGGTTGCTGCTGTGCTGGAACGATGTGACTGTCTGTTGGGCTGCTCCATTATAACACGTCTTCTGAGTGTAGGAGTGTGGGTGTAATGGACTTGAGTTCAGTGCCTGGCAGCCCCCAAACCTGCTGTGAAGAGCTGGAAAAGTAAGCTTAAGTCACACGTTATTTTGAGATATAGATTCCCTGAGTCCACCCCAGTACTTCTATTCAAGACAAGACAGGGGAGGAGGGGAAAAAAATAGATTAGATACTGGAGGCAAAAGGAGTCCTTAGATCTGAAGAGAGAGGAAAGAAATTGAGTTATATATGATGAAGGGCGACTAGAGAAAAGATTTTTACCTTGCGCCCCCACAGCTCAAAAGACTGAGTCATCCTCTTCCAAAAAAGCACCATGATTTCACTGAGAAGGTGTTTTGCTCTGTGATTTCTGGCTTCCCCTGGTGTGCGTGTGTGACAGCTAATGTCAGGGCTCTCTCAAGGACACAGACTTCAGGGGCTGTACCCATTCCCTCATCAGCCTCCCTCCACTGGGCAGAGGTCTGGAAGCATGGCAATGGGAAGGAGACGTCTGCCAGACTTTCCCTTTGCTGGCACACACTTGCGAGTGCCTCAAAGCCCACCTCCAGCCATGCCCTCTCCATTTCCCTTTCCAGCTGGCAGCTTGAGCAATGAAACCTCTTCATCTTACCGGGAGCACACAAGCATTTAACGGGACTTAAAGCAAATGTTTTGAGCTCCCTTGGTGCTTGCCTCTGAACTTGCTCCTGGGTATTTACAGAAATTGGTGGATCTTGGCATTTGCCACAAAACCTCGCAGGACAGCCTGTTGCAGTGAATTTCAAGGTCATGCAAAGGTATGGCCTGTGCTTAGAAAGGCTTGGACCCTGGGTTCAGAGGAGAGGAGTCCATAATTAGCAGCTCCAGGGGATATGGATGAGCAGTGGCGGGGGGGGAAAGCTAATTGCAGACTGACTGGCTCCTTGGCCTTCAGCAGCTCCCGTGAAGCAGGGAAGCAGTGCGTTCAGCCAAGCACCAAGCGTGTCCTAGGGAAAGGTAATTCCTCCCTGGCCTGCCCGGACCTGTCCCTGAGCGAGGAGAGCAGAGCAGAGGATTTCACACACAAAAAAGGTCTCTGAGCTGGAGGCACGCGCTAGGCACGCAGGAGTGCTCCTCAGCATCACACAGCCACGTGCCTCTGCCTGACAGAGCCTGCGAGTCCTTATTCTGCCCTCCGAGGCTTTGGGGATCAGATCCTTGCCCCCATTTGTGCACCCTGGTGAAGTGCCGCCCCCAACACCCCGGCATGCAGTGTCCTCCCTCACACAGGCAAGTGTGCTGCCCCAGACCTAGATGAAGCCCCATCTGCCTGAGCACATCAGGGAGAGCCAGCTTCACACCTAACCCCTCCACCACCTCCCTTTGTGCTCCAGTGAGACATCCTCCCCCTTCTTCTCCACATACTTTTAACTCGTTTAATTTCAAACACTTTATTAGCATGACAAGCTAAACAAGTTTTGACAAAGGGGAAGGGAGGCAGAGCCCTTCAAGTCTCAGTCTGAGGCTGATGCCGTGATTCCAGCCTTTGCTTCCCATGGGGCTTTGCCTTGCATTGGACCAGCTATACTGACCCTGTGCCATCTCTCTCCATTCCTTCACAGGGATAAACTGCTGGCATGGGAAGGCAACTGCCTTTCCATCTCTGTTGCATGGCAGCACCCATGCTGGATTTAACATCTGCTGGGGCAAAGGCTTTACCGGGAGCGTTGGTAGGGCTTGGGTGAGGCTGATGGGAGGAGAAACCGCAGTGCTGGGGCAGCTCCTATTGCAGGGAGCTCACTCCAGGGACCGGTGGTAACTGTGGTGTGGATCCCAGTGGGAACTGGCTTTGTCTCTCAAAATAACCTCTCTAAGGTCACATCCCAGTACATAGTCCTTTGCAGAGCCCTGGAGCCACACAGAGTGAGAGCTGGAGGCACCTGAGCTGGGCTCAGTGCGAGAGCTGGCTTACGAGGTGAGCGTGGCATGGAGGCGGCAGTGGGCAGAGATGAGGGGCATGCCACAACCAAATACTTGAGGCCAGAAGACCCTGATTTCTCCTGCCTTCCTCTGAGAGTGATGCAGTCGGTGCAAAGCGAGTGCAGGGAGCACAAATCCACCGCTGCCAGGCTCTGCACTCCCTGCTCCACAATAAGATACTGCACCAGGGGCAGGGCAAGAGGTGAGCGCCTACTGTTGCTCACCGTTTTATGGCTAATTAGAAGTGGCCAGCAGGGGTCACTGATATCTATTTATTTTACCATCATTATTTTACTATATTTTTATACACATGCAAATAAATCTACAGAACACCCACAGGCAGCAATTGTAGTGGGGAAGTGTTGGGGCGCAATGTATTCATCAGGTGTACAGGCTGGGGGAAAATGCCCCTACATATGCCTGAAATACCAGTGTGAGCTTTGCCTCCCTGCTCAAACCTCGTAGTGTCATGAAACCACTGAGCCATGCCAAGCACCAGGGTACTGTGGTGGTAGGTTTCTGTCATTCTCTGGTTCTGCCTCCGTCTTCCATCCCGTATTGGCAAAGAAGCTTTGAGAAAGATTCAGAGATTCAAGCCTCGGGGGCAGGATATTGTGTCTGCTTGTCTTTCTGTGCAGTGCCCAGCACAATTACATCCCAATTGTGACGGGTGCCTGGGGATCCTGACAGCAAAGTTTTGAGGGTTGTGTCTTCCTGAGCCCTGAATGGGATGGACTGGATTATCTACATGGGTGTTGTTAGGAACTGTTTTACTGGTGGGTTGTATTCTTCTGGTACATGCACGCTCCAGGCATGCTGGCAGGATGTTAGCTGTCCAATTCTGCATCCACAGACTTGTTTGGCTGTCTCAGGCTGGCTGTGTTTCACTGATCTTACTGTTCCCAAGATGCTGTTGGTTTTGTGCGCTGAGCTCCTCTTGTACTGACATATCCCAGAGTGCAAGCTCTGCTCAGAACGTCTTGGTGTTTTTTGGTTTTGGTGGGCTCAGCCCATCCATGAAACCTCTTCTGTCTTTGAGCATTTCCCAGTTGAGGTCTACTGGGGGATCCTCTGAGCAGCTGCAGTCAGAGAAGCAGCAGAGAAGGTCCCTTCAGAACTGCGGAACCCGCGCTGGAGGAAATGGGACTTCACGCAACCCTAAGGCAGGTGGCAGCCTCCAAGCCACCAAAGGGTGGTCTGGCATCCACCATCTTCCCTGCTTGACCCGGGTTGGTGAGGAACTTGAGGAACCAACCCTCCACTGCCTTCTTTTGGTGGGGAAACTTTATTTCTGGCATTTAGTTCTTCACTAGCCGAGACCGTAGGTACTTCAGAGGGATTTGTCCCTCCACAGGGTGGCACCTGCCCCTCCAGGGATTCCTTTTATACAGTTACAGGGGTCTATATAAAGTGCTGCCAGCTGGAAAGTATTTTGAAGAGATTCCTCCCTGCTCTTCACTAAGGGTCATAAATTCAGCTGGTATTTGAGAGAATCTCAAATGTAC